AAAAAAAAAAAAAAAAAAAAGTAGGCCCTAGGAGGGCCACCTGAGTAAGCCCGTGGTGCTTTTGTGTTGCATTTGTCTCCCTCTAGCGGTAACACGGGGAATCGAGCGCACGTGGGATCTGCTCTCCTTTCGAACCACCTGGCTCACGGCTGGAGGGGCAGATGTTTGGATCTTTCCCTCCGAAAGGAGTTAGATTCCCGTTGCTCTATCTCTGCCCTCACACAGTTCTTGTAGAAACCACTGGGTCGGGACCCCAGAACAGAGAAAAGCCGATGGGGCCCTCACAAGAAGGACACCCTTCCCCCTGAACCCTGCTAGCGTCAGGCCCTGCCCGAGTCCCAGGCCTGGACCCTGACGTGGAGACAGGTCATGGGCCGAGGGTTGAGGTTCCGGGGATCTGCTGTAATAAACGGGGCAGCAAATGGTATCGCGTCTCAGTGGCTCTCCCCCAATCATTTCCCCTTGTGTTTTTTTCTAAAGGTTCTGAGACATAGTTCACATACCACAGATCACCCATGCAAAGTGTAGCATTCCGTTGTTTTTAGTATTATCACTGAGTTGTGCAGTTATCACGATAGTCAATTTTAGAGCATTTTCATGATCTCAGAACCATTTCCATCGCCTGTACCCTTCCGGTACCACCCCTCTATCCCCCCTCCCCCAGCCCCTGGCAGCCTCTAACCTACTTTATCTCTATGGATTTGCCTGTTCTGGACTCTCATATGAATGGATCATACAACGTGTGGCCTCCTGTGTCTGGCTTCTTTGACTTAGCCTCGTGTGTGTGTTTTTCGAGATTTATCCATGTTGTAGCATTTATTAGTACTTATATCTCTTTATATGGTCGAACAACACTGCACTGTGTGGATGTACCATATTTATCCATTCATCCATCGGTGGTTCTTTAAAAAAAAAAAAAAGCCCAGTGCTGATGCTGGGAGTTTCGTGGCTAGTTTCGCAGCCTTGGAGATTGCTGCTGGCTGGCGACACTCTCTTGGCGGCCAGCGTCTCCGAGAGAGAGGCGGGTGGCTCTGCTGCCAGGAAGGAAGGACATTCAGAGCGAGAGGTTCTGGTTTAAGGCTCAGGAGGCGATGGTGGTAACAGAGCGGGGAGCCCTGGGGCCCCCTTTGCCAACATGCCAGCCCTCCCGCTGCGTGGCCCACCCGTGCCGGGAGAGGCCCTGAGGTGCTCAGGTGTTACCTGTTTGGCAGGTGGAGTGAATCTTTGGCGGATGGGGGTGAGGATTGGGGGACGGGGGTTCCGCTGAAACCCCCCTGGCCCAGGACCCCGAGGGCAGATCCGGCCACTGTCTCCCACCGCGCCGGGCCTTTCCTCTCACCTGCCCTCCTTTCCCCAGGTTCGCCAAGTACTACATCGACCTGGCCGGCGCCGAGCACCGCACGCTCATCAAGGCCTACGGCATCCGCTTCGACATCATCGTGTTTGGAAAGGTAGCCCGGCCGCCAGCTCCTCGCTCAGGCCCCGCCAGTCCCCTCCTGGGCCAGCCAGGGCCCGGGCGTCCTGTCCCCTCTCCACCTGCCCTCACCCACCCCCAGCACAGCTCTGGGGTTTTTTCTCTCCTCATTTGCAGGCTGGAAAATTTGACATCATTCCAACCATGATCAACATTGGCTCCGGCCTGGCGCTCCTCGGGGTGGTGAGTGCCCCAGACCTTTCTGCTCGCCCCCAGCGGACGTTAGCGCAGCAGGCGGCCCCTCGGCTAAAGGCCGGTCCTTCCCTTCCCCCCACCCCTGCCTCCACCTCCCCTTCCCGGGGACTGCGCCGCCCCTCAGGGCCTGGCCTTGTCCAGAGAGATGGAGGGGACTCTCCTTCCCTTGAAAGATCCCAGGCACAAAAAAACAGGGACTAACGCATCCTGGCCCGTCCTCAGACCACGGTGCTGTGTGACATCATTGTCCTCTACTGCATGAAAAAGAAATACTACTATCGGGAGAAGAAGTACAAGTACGTGGAGGATTACGAGCAGGTAGGCCCCCGCCCGGGCCCCGCGCGCTTGGCCCGCCACACGCCACCCCCGTCACCGGCTCCACCCCAGACCCCGCGCGCGAGTCCTCGCTTTACGTGGCCTTGCTGTTTAAAATCTAGCTGCCTTTTGATGAGCGACATCGCAGGTTAGTTGTGATAACGGATATTATGACAAAATCGGTGTCCACGCACTACTTTTGAAAGTCGCCTTGCACAGCAAAAGGGGTTGGGAACCGTGCGTCGCGGCCACCGCACTGGGACTCACCTGAGCGCGTGCAGCAGTCAAGGGCTGTCCCAAGTCCTCAGGAAACGCACCCGGCCGTGGCCCCCCAAATCCTCCAGGCTTGCGTGTGGGACGCGCGGGCGGGTGCACCTTTATCCGAAGCGTAGCATTTGCGAGCGCCTCGTTCTTTGCAGGGGATCATCGACAACGAGATGGAGCGGTGATGCCTGCCCGCACCTGGGCCCCCCACGGCCCTCGTCAAAGCCAAGTGGGGAGCAAAGAGAAGGGAGAAAAGGCCGCCGGGGCGCCCCAGGGGACGTCCGTGATTCTGAGTCAGTCTCCGCTCCACCATGCTTCAGGGTGGCCCAGCTGCCCCCGTGCTCTGTGTTGCAGGACGTGCATCATAAACCTCGCTGTTCCTTCCAACTTGGGTCCTTGGGGTGAGCTGTGGCCTGCAGGGCTGGGGCCTTCTCCAGGGCCAGCTCTCCTCTGCAGCCCCCGCAAGGCAGGTCCAGGAGCGCAAGGACACCTGGGCTCGGTCCCCGAGCGTGCGGCATGCCCGGGCGGCCGGTCCCCTTTCCCCACCACACTTTGCTCAATCACGAGGCGGAGTTAGCGTTTCTCTTTTGAGAAGAGGTATTTGAAAAGATGACCGAGGGACCAAACATTAAAGCAGATGATTTTCTTAACCTCTGTCTGCGTGGTTTCCTAGCACAAGCTAGAATGTTCCTTCCCTCCCTAGTAAATCCATCTGTTGTCCCAGCTCACTGTGCTCAGAAAGGGCTCCTGAAAAAGCCTGCTGCTGGAGCTTAGGCATTTTTTCCCCCTACTTTAACTTTCTCTTAAAGGCCCAACAATTTCGATCTTCATTAGGTTGTGTTTGTGCAGAGTTTACGACATTTCTCTTCTGCGGGGACGACTCGCCTGACCCATGCTTGCATTTTCCCTAAAGTGACGACGGGACCACATACACTCTGGGGAACACAGTTTTAGGCTTCACAACAGTCGTTTATTCCCCGCCCTCCCCCCATCTGCTTTCCATCCGTCTCCAACCAAAAGCAGCGCCACCTCCACCTCCGTTGCCACCCGGTGTGAAACGTTAAGCTATTTCCAGCTGAGCCTTCACGCCCACTTAATTCTGCATCAGGTGTTCAGGGCCCCCCTAGAGAAAGCAGCCGGCCCTCCCCTTCGCCGTGCGTTTATTTCCAAGTGCTGAAGGAACAGGTTTTTTGTTTTTTATTGATTTCAGAGGGAGGANCAGGGCCCCCCTAGAGAAAGCAGCCGGCCCTCCCCTTCGCCGTGCGTTTATTTCCAAGTGCTGAAGGAACAGGTTTTTTGTTTTTTACTGATTTCAGAGGGAGGAAGGGAGGGAAACATCAATGATGAGAGTCACTGATCGGCTGCCTCCTGCATGCCCCGGACTGGGGATCCAGCCCACAACCCGGGCCTGTGCCCTGACCGGGAATCGAACCGTGATCTCCTGGTTTGTGGGTCAACACTCAACCGCTGAGCCACACCAGCCGGGCAGGAACAGTTTATTTTAAAAGGGCTCTGCTCCTGTTGGATAAATGACCAAACTGGGCTTTTCTTGCTTTGGGGGAAAAATGGTTTACTGAACCCCTTTGAAAAGGCTCTGGTTCATGCTGCCTCTTTCGGGGTGGAGCATGCCCACCCACAGGGGTGTTCGATGTCTCATTAGAACTGCTCCCGTAGCTTGGCCGGGCGCGGCTCAGCGGTGGAGCATCGGCCTAGGATCCAGGAGATCGCGGTTTGATCCCCAGTCAGGGCACAGGCCCGGGTTGTGGGCTGGATCCCCAGTGGGGGGCGTGCAGGAGGCAGCCGATCCATGACTCTCTCATCACCGACGTTTCTCTCTCACTCTCCTCCCTTCCTCTCTCTGAAATCAATAAATAAAGACATACTAAAGAAAACCAAAGAAACAAATACTCCCGTAGCTGCTGCTCACCTGTTTGGTTTCCACCAGAAGAATTGAGCAACTACCTGCGGGCTGGGGCTGAGCTTCTCAAACTTCAGGGCGCAGATGAGCCAGCTGGGGATCCCAGTTAAGCGAGGCCTGGGAATGTGCATTCCTAACCCGCTCCCGGGTGCTGCGGAGGGTCTGGGGACCACACTCTGAGCAAGACACTGGGACACGCTTAAATTAGGGATGAACAATGTGATGCTAGGTACATGAGCCCTGACTTGGCATCTGACCTCACCGCCGACCTGAGGAAGGAAAACACGTAAGGACAGATGTCCCAGAGAGCCCCGACTTAACGACCAACAGAAAAAATCCCAAGGAGGCCTCGCTTTGCACCATTTTGGCTGTCTGTTTATTTCAAGTTTACAGAGACGCTTAAACATCCGTGGAAAAACACCGAAGGCTTATTTTTTTCTCAAGTCCAAGTCTCTGTAAGTGATAAATACACAGTATTTAACTTTGTACACCTGATAAAAGGAAAATGCATAGTACAAAGGATCAGGAACAAAACAGAAGCACTGGGCGGTAAGTCAATCACAGGATAGAGAAGTCAGCAGTCCCACGAAACTCGGCCCACAGAGCTGGAGGAAGATGGGAACCTGCGGCCTTGAAAACCTCCCCTAGCACCTTAGAAACAAGTGGAGGTCATGGTTCTCCCCTCCCACCCCCACCGCCTCCCCGGCAACGTGAAGCTCGCCTACGGAAGATGGGTGAGAGCGGAGGGTCGAACCCGGGGTCTGAACACAGGTATTGGCCTCCCTGTTCTGAGAAGGCTTTGGGGACCGAGCCCTAAGTCACGGGAAGGCCAGAGCAGTGGGCACATAGCCTCTCGGGCCCCCTGTGCCGACGAGGGGCTAGATAAGGCCGGTGAGCCAGCGGAAGAGATGGGGGCCTAGAACAGGCCAGAGGAAACGACGGGGGGAGTAGTTGTGCTTCCTTCGCGGCCCCGGAGGCAGGTCACAGGCTGCTTACACCGAATCGGTCCCACGTGCGAGCCAGCCATGGCAGGAAAGGATGGGGATCCTCCTGGCTCACCTGAAAGAGCTGCCCTAAGGGCCCCTCCCCTCTCCTGGCACAGCGGGCTTTTGGAAAATCAATGTCTGTGCTCCAGGAGAGGGGTAGTTAACACTGAATGGCACAGCCCTCTTGGCTTAGACTTTTTGGGGGGTGGCAGTCAGTTTCTTTCCACAGCTTTCTTTGGTGTTTGTTAAAAA